GGAATCCTGTTTGGCTTATCTTTCATGACAAGTTACCTACTAATACGTACAAGTTATCTTTCATGATCTCAATTCCTTGATATCAGAAACTTGTTGTCAAGGAACTGAGAAGTCGGAATTTCTCATACGTACAGGGGAGGGCAATGCTTGTGCTGACTATTTGGCGAAGCTAGCAGCGAAGGGTTCAAATGCTTTATTCATTGGGGATTCGCCCCCACAAGGAATGAATCACCTTCTTCAAGCAGATCTTATGGGTTTTTGTTTCTCTAGAGCTTCCTAGTTTTTTCCCTTCCTTTTCCGTTGTACCTTAAAAAGAAGAAATGATTAAATTTACTTTCATTACTTCAAATATCCATAATTTTGATTAAATTTAATATATTTTTGTATCTGAATTAAGTAAGAAAGGATATTTTACCTGATTAATAAAATAAAAGGGTTACGTGTTTAACAATAATGAATCGCATGATATTTTTTAAAAATATTTTTTAATTTAAAATATATTAAAATAGTTTTTTAAATTTTTTTAATTTATAATATTAGTATATCAAAAACATCAAATATATGTAAAAAAAGTTAAATTTAAATAAAAAACAATTTAAAAAACAATTACATCCGGAAATGGAACTAAACCAGCAAAAACAATAAAATAAAGTCATTGCAGCAATAATAAGCTTAGCTTATAAGTGAATTGGATTTTTTTATTCAGTGCTCTATTGAAAAAGGGTTGGCAAAAGAAAGGCCAAGAAAAGGAAAGCGTGAACAGACAGATGAAGAGGGCAAAAATGAAAGGGGGAGAGAATACATTGCTTGAGTTTGAAGAATGAAGAAATGATTCGGCAGCTGCGTCTCACTGTAAAAAATAAAAAGGAAACATGGCATTTATTTATAAAGTGAGAAAAAAAGGACTGAGTGGCCAACAGAAATGCAACTCGAGGGCCCCTCGTACCAATCATATATGTGTTAAACACAGTCAATATTAAACCATAGTCATTAAATTTAATCTCCCCAGTGGATTCAAAGCTTGATTAAATTCGATTTATTCAGTTGATTTAGCTTAAATCGAGACTCAACTAGGTTAACTTCAAATAGTTTTTTGTCAAAAAAGAAAACTAAAATCATGATTGTTTTGAGCAAAGGTAATTCATCTAGTAACAGATAAGCTGATAAGAGGATTCAGTAACCCAATACCAGAACAGATATAAGAACTATGCAACGAACTACTCGAAGAATTGCTTGTCTTCTTGCATGCAACCTGTACTGGGTGGATCATGCATGACCCTGACATGACACATTAACTGAGATACTAAAGTATCGAATGGCACGATGGCAGAACGGGGGAGCTGTAGGATCTTGTTGGGAGAACATATTTAGATCTCGAGATGTCCTGATATCCACTGGAGCTCTACATGTGATCCGATACCCTTTGAAGGTATCGCCGATTTTGTATTCTTTTTGACTTTTGCTTTGTCGTTAAATCCCAAGATTTGGTAGGAATATGATTTGATGCCCACCTACCTAGCATCACTTGACGTGGCTAGGCAGCTAAACACACCTCTCAAATAAATTCAGCAAGATTGGGTTATTATAAAAACATAAACGCTAGAGTGTGATTTCTTCTTAAATTTCTCCTTTCTTCGATATTTTGATGGTTTTCTTTGGTGCTGAGTACATTAGGGCGACACCAGTTAGTATGCTAATTAAGAACACATCCAATTAGCATAAAATAAAATTGAAAAAGCTAAACACTACACTAATCAGACAATATTAATCTTAAATTAAAGAGTATGTTAAACTGAATGATTTTTTCTAGCTAAACAGTTAACCAGCTCTTGATTCTTATTTTGTAGAGAGAATTTAAGTTTATTTCAGATAATGTAAAATGGTGTAGTTGAAAATCATGAAAGATTAGTTATATAAAAATTTTTTATATAAAATAACAAGTAATCTTGCTTTAAAGACAGATAACATAATATTTGATAACAACATCCATTATTTCCTTTATTCATTAAAAAAAATATGAACAAGAAAGTATTTTATTTATTCTATCTGAATTTTTTATACTTATTTTATTTATGCTTACTATATTCAGCTAGTTGTGATTGCTCATCTTCTCAGCAACTTTATTGTTATGTTCAATTCATATACATCTTGATCAAATTAAATTAAATCAAGCAATTGTGATATTTTCAAAAAAGAAGCCGTTAGATTGACAATTCAATAATCGAAGGAAAAAGAAAAAGGAAAAAAAAAACCCAATTGACATCATTGTGGTTGATTTCAGATCACACCATGTTCATTCAATAAGTGGAGCATTCTTTCAAGCAATCATGACAGGAAACAATTGATTTATTATAATTGTATTTAAAAACAAAAACAAAGAAAAAAAAGAAAGGGAAGGGAAGGGAAGAACATTTGACTAGAAGGCCATTGACTAAAAGTGAAGAAACAATGGCATAATGTTGAAAAATTCTGGGAGTCGATGAGCTGTCCCCTTGTTGATAATGTCCATCGACTTTAGGTCAATTTAGAAGTGCAAATTTGAACCACTCCGTATCTATACCAGGCCTCCTCATTTCAAACAAAACACCAAGAAAAAATTGAGGGCGACGAAGCTCCTGTGGGCTGTGACCGTGATTGGCGATGGTGATTGAGCTACAGTGCTTGCAAAGATTCAAAAGGTGGCTAATTTAGCAATTAATTAGAGACAGGAAAGTTGGGGGGGCTACTTATCTTTTTGTTCGAGACATCGTCCATTCAGCGGCTCCTTCGCCTAAAACTGCACAAGGAAGGATGGCCATGTTTTATGAAGCCATCGAGTCACTTTTTGTTCCCGAAACGGAGAAGGAGAAAGGATAAAACGAGTATAATTTCTGTAAAGAAGTTTCACCAATGATGTTGTTTTTACACAGCGTGTTCTCTTTCTGTAAATCCTAATTACTCCAATCAAGATTTTTTGCCCAACGTTCCATACAATTTTCATTGAAAATTATTAGGTGTGTATATATATATATCATTTTTAAATAGAAACATAAAATTCAATATAAAAATAATTCTTGGATCCTTGTTTTTTATAAAAATTAAATACATTTTTTAATATAATAAATAATTTCTTATCTTTTTATTTCCTTCACGTTTTCTTCTTGACTAACATATTTATTTCCTTCACGTTTTCTTCTTGACTAGCATAAACATGTTATGTTGTGTGTGGTTAGTATTTCATAATAAATAAATAAATAAATAAAAATCAATACAGAAAAAAATAATTAGTTTAAGAGTTAGAGATATAAAATAATTTTATCTAATTAATTTTCAAAATAAAAAGTACACGGAGATGTTTCTTTTTTTTTTATTATCTTTATCTTATTTTATTTAAATTAATAATTAAACATTAACCTAATACAAAGTACAAGCCAAATTCATTGTAAATTTAATTTTAAAATTAAAGTTTTTAAATAAATTTTTTATATTAGGTTTTTTAATAAAACGATGTGTTAGGATGGAAGGGATAAAGTAAGATATCGTAAATTTTAAATGATTGATTTTCCTTAAAAGAAAGTAATTATTGTATGGAAATTTTATATGAATTCATATGTATAATTCTTCATATGGAAATGCTTTTCTCATTTTTTTCATCTGCAATTAAAAAATAAAAATTATACAATTAACATTTATAGGTTCTTATATTCTCTTTTTAAAAATAACAAAAAAAAATATTTTTTTAAAAAAAAAAATTGCATGAAGTAACGGAACCTAAAACTTTGAAAATCTGAAAATACTGAAAAGTTAATGTAAGAAACATTAGGATTAAAAAAAAAAATCAAGAAACAAAAACAAACTGCACTCTTGCTGGCGTGCTTAACATGCTGATTACTAATTAGTGATCACTGAACTCTCTAATTATTAAAAATTAAGCTCTACACCCCATGCCCATTAGCATTTCTTTATCGATCCTTTGACCGTAACCTAACCCCATTTGACCGTTACTAACGGCGATGACACGATTTTCCATGTCAATCAATATCTTTTTAATAATTTCTGTCACGGGAAAAGGATTATTGTGTGTCCTTGTCGTTTTGTTTCTTGGCAATAATAATTCTGTATTTGGTAAGTCCGCTTGTAAATTTCAGATGCTATTTCTCCTTTTAAAAGTCATTTTTCCAGGGCAAACGTTATTGCGAGTTTCAAATCAGAAATCAGCTATGGGGGAGGTTTTTTTTTAAAAAAATATTCTTTTAGTTAATTTTATTTTTAATTTTTATTATTTTTATTATCCAGTGTTGTTAAGTTTTTTATATTAAAAGTAATTATAAAATTTGGCAAGTAAAGGCTTTAATGAATGAAAATTAAATATTTTAAAAATCTTATTGTTGATTTTTTAAACTTTGATCAAATATTGTTTTTCATCACTAATGCTTGCATCAATAGCTTTCAAAATACTCTATTTGAAGCTATTTTTAGTTAAATAACATATTTGAGTCAACATCATCATTTGTATTATTCATAATAACATGTTGATATTTTACATTTCTAATTTTCAAATTCCTCATCCAATAACTACAATGATATTGGTATTTTACATCCACTAATAACTTCTAAATTCTATAAATCTTTTTTTTTGTTATATGGGTTTTTTTAAGAAAAAAAATATTAGGTTTTTAAATTAAGTTTGATTATTAATATGATATAAAATTTAGATCATAAATTTTAATTAAGTCATCCTATTTTAAATATATTTTTATTTTTAATTTTTTTTATAAAACAAAACCAAGCTATTTTTGTTAAGAAATAAATAATTAAGGGTTATACCTAATTTTTTTTAATAAGATTGGGTTAAACTCAGAAACTATGAAAATATGAAATTGAACATCAAATAATAACTTTTGAGGAGCAGCATACTTAACGGAAGTGATCCAACGTCATCAACTCCTCCTCGTAGAATGAAAAACACAAGCACAGTAAAAACAAAACAAATAGACACACACTGGCTTCCTTTTACAGTTTTCTTGTCTCGCGGCAAATGATTTAGTTCTATCTGTTTATCTTTACAGGTTTCTCTCTCACACACACCACTCCCTCTCTCTCTCTCTCTCTCTCTCTCAACTCGCTTTGCTTCTTTTTATTTTTTTGCTAGCTTCGCTCTTGCAACAGTGACGAGACTGTAAAAATGGAGAGGAAGCAGGGGTTCTTTTCAGTTGTTAGAGGACTATCACCGGGGAGGTCACGAGCGAAGAGTCCGGCGAGGAGTGCATCACCGATGTCTAGTTTGTTAAGGAGGAGAAAAGGACATGGACAGCACGTGGCAAAGCCAGAGCCCTTGATCATTCCTAGATCAGGGAGCTTGAGGCCAGCGGAAGCTTTATCACCGTTGAAAGAGGGACCAGATCAAGATGACGGTGGAGATTCAAGGATGGAAGGTAAGTGGGGCCAGTGGATGAAAGGACAACTTTCAAGAGGAGGACCGTCTTCAGTCGTATCTTCCTCATCAAATGCTTGTAATAACACTAGTAAACGGTCCGATCTGAGGTTATTGCTTGGTGTCTTGGGTGCCCCGCTTGCTCCGGTTCACGTTAGCACTGCTGAGCCATTGCCTCACCTTAGTATAAAAGATACTCCCATTGTGAGTCCCTTCTCTCTCTCTAGCAATTTTTCTCTGCGTTAGTTTGTATACTGAATTATATGATTGCTTAAAAATAACAAAAAAAAAAAGTGTGTTTTCTGGATTTCTGCTATTTTTTAATCGGTTTTCAGCATTAATTTACTTTACAGTAATGTCACTGCTTCAGTTGAGTAAAATTACTGAGTTCTTATGCAAAAAGTTGATTCCTTTGATGAAATGTTGAAATCAAAGTGGGTTTCTTTGTTTTCATTTCATGCTTGTTTAGGAGCAACATTTTTTTAAGAAAAAAACGATGTTTGTTGATAGAATCACTCGGAAGATTTTGCGGTTCTCGGAGCTGTAACTATCAATATTTACAGCATTGGAAAAAAGATAGAAACAAGAATAAGAGAGAAAATCATATTCTGACGCACTAAAAGTGAAAAGAATATCTCTCTAATTCTCAAAAATATTTTCTTGTATCATTCTCCCTCCTATGCTGTAAGTTTTAGTAGTTACAGCTTGAGCATTATAGAGTTTCTCGAGACAATCACTCCTTTTTTGTGATGTAAGATTCTATTCCTTGGGTTTGTGTATCTGGAAATATACGCAATATGATATGATTACTCTATAATTTGTTGCTTGTGCTTGTAGTTAAAACAAAGGGGGAAATGTGTTTGGAATTATCTTTTTCTTCCTTTACTTTAAAAAAATAATAATAAAGATGGTGTTGATTAGTTGACTCGTTGCTATTGTTAGATTGATCGATGGAGTATGCTCTTTTATTTTAATAATATACATGCTGAGGTGGCTTTATGTTGGTGATTGCAGGAAACTTCATCTGCACAGTACATATTACAGCAGTATACAGCAGCATCAGGAGGGCAAAGGCTTCAGAATTCCATTCACAATGCGTATGCTATGGGGAAGGTGAGGATGATAGCTTCAGAATTTGAGACGGCTAACAAGGTCACTAGAAATAGGAACTCTTCCAAAGCTGCGGAGTCTGGTGGGTTTGTCTTGTGGCAAATGAATCCAGATATGTGGTATGTTGAGCTTGCGCTTGGTGGAAGCAAGGTTCATGCTGGCTGCAATGGGAAGCTTGTGTGGAGGCATACACCTTGGCTTGGTGCACATGCTGCTAAAGGTCCTGTTAGACCCTTGCGCCGTGCACTTCAGGTGAGATGCTTCTCATCTTTCACTCGTTTTACTACCTAACAAACAGGCAGTTCTTTGATCTAATGATTGGTTAAATGCTCATGTTCAATCCCAGGGCCTTGATCCAAGAACAACTGCAAGCATGTTTACTAATGCAAGATGCATTGGGGAGAAGAAGATCAATGGAGATGATTGCTTTATCCTCAAGATATGTGCAGATCCTGCAACTCTCAAGGCTAGGAGTGAAGGGCCAGCAGAGATCATAAGGCATGTTTTGTTTGGCTACTTCAGCCAGAAAACAGGACTCCTTGTTCATTTAGAAGACTCTCATTTGACCCGCATCCAGAACAATGGAGGTGACGCCGTTTACTGGGAGACCACAATCAATTCTTTCCTTGATGATTACAGGCTAGTGGATGGTATCATGATTGCTCATTCTGGGCGTTCAGTAGTAACCCTTTTCCGGTTTGGAGATACGGCAATGAGCCACACTAGGACCCGAATGGAAGAAGCATGGGCAATTGAAGAAGTGGCATTCAATGTCCCTGGCCTGTCCATGGACTGTTTTATTCCTCCTGCTGAATTAAGGTTTGCTTCTATTAGTGAAACCTGTGAGCTTCCTCGCAGTCAGAGGGTAAAGCCTGCTGCGACTGCTTCAGCCCATCGTGCTAAAGTTGCTGCACTAGAGAGATCTCACGAAAATGCTACTAACAATATGATGTGGAAAACAGATGTTTAGAGGGAAGGGGCGGGAAAGGGCTTGTGGTATCTTATCATCACACTGCTAGATTAGGCGTCTAGTTTTACTCTTACCAGCCAATTAGAAGGTGAACGGTAAAGGTAGGAACTTATTAGTGGTTTTGTGAAGTATTGGCATTGAATCAATGTCCCTTTGAATTTGTAAATAGAGAATAGTCATTTACATATTTTCTCAGGTTCTGGTTGAAAACTTATTCTCAAGTAAGTATTCTATCATGGAGCCAGATCTTGTGTATGGTGGGTGACTGTGCTCGAGTTCTCTGTGCGTTCCGTTGACTGACGCTGGTGCAGAAATTTAGGTAGATAATTTCTGTATGGACTCCCCAGCCTGGGCGATTACCTTACCGGTTTGTCAGGGCACAAGCCTCGATGGTCCCTAGCCATGATTTTGCTTCATGCCTCGCGGTATTGTTGTCATCAATTGGGTGAACAACCGTACCAAACCTGGTTTTAAATAGGGTTTTGTTTTGAATTTGTTTTCCCAAAACAATGTTGTTCTGGTTTTAAAAAATGAGGTTGGCCCAATTAAGTGCTGACTGAAGAATTGACCCAATCAGTTTGTGATCTGGATCTGAATGTTGTAAGTATGATTTTAGGGTTCTCCAAAATATACAACCAATTTCTTTTAAACCAACTCTGTGTTGCTCCAAACTGTTGATTAATGTGGCATGGGAGAAGGAAGTACTTGGTCTTGAGCTTGAGAAGAATAAAAAGAATGATTAGGGACTTTTAAGCTCGAGGAAAATAAAATTGAAAACTAATTAGTCTCTTCGAAGCTTGAGTGATCAGAATCGCCCTTGGTGCTTAAGCTAAGTAAAATCCGTGCAATGTGAAAGTTTGAAGTATACCTTGGAAGGAAAAAGGGAGCTTTAATCATGCAAAATACACCAAGTTACGCGTTACGGACCTGGAAATCAGGACTCGGTCACTGACTGCGCGAGAGGGAACCTTACTGCTTTGTTAGGGTTGTGAGATTGCCAGATAAAAGGCAAGATTTTCGTTTTTTTTTTTTCTTTCTATTTTTGTTGATTATTTGTCAATATGCATAGTTTTTCCCTTTTTTCCAAGAAAACATTTCAGCCTTGAACAGCCCGAAAAGTTCCAAGTAGGTGCCAAATTAGAGCAGTTCTCCACAACAGAAACGTATCTTAAAGGTGCCATAATCTGTTATGGAGAGTATTAATGCTTTATGGATGCCATGATTCAGCATATGGAGTCGTGAAAATGGTGCTTGGAGGAGGTTCTCTCCACCTTGTGCCATGCCCAGAATGCTACACGTTAGACAGTTCTTTCCACCATCTTAGTTGGAAGAATCAGATATGATGGTCACGAATTTAACATGGAACCATCATTCATTGCTTGTAAAGAAATATTTCTAGTATCGGTACTACAACTATTTGTAGGCATTAAACATGTTTACTCTTCCTCTGAGACAAAATGATGGAGCCTATGCCTATTATCAGTGTAGCTGTTCAGCATTCTCAAGAATCTGAACTACCTCTCTTTTTATTTGATATTGATGTAGGAAAAAACCAAATCGTTTCTTTGGATACTTTCAACATTTGACTCAAGAAATTGGTGGAAAGAAAACATTCAAACTTTTATTCAAAAAGTTACAGAAGCAAACTATGTCTACCTTTTCTACAGAGTCTAATGTGGCTGCATTGCCTTTGCTTTAGATAGATTAAAATCCGTATGCCTGCTTTTTAGTCTCTCCAAGCTTCTGTTCTCAGATTTGTTAGTTATGGAGTTAGTATGTGATTGAAGCTATAAGTTGAAGAATGTGAAGGGACCATGTCCCATGTTCACCCTGTGGTCCCTCACTCCCTTTTGCAGCCCACTTGAGATCACGTTACAGTAACCATTATCATAACTTGGAAGTGGAAGAAATCAGGGGAGAATGCAGGCTAATGGTTAAGATTTTAACTCTATGCATATGGCATCCATCACTTCAGTCTTGCATAGTTTGTGCGATTGTGGTGAAAAGGGGAAAGTTTTCCTAATTAGAAGAAACTAAACCCTCACCAAAGTTGCAGTTGGTTTAGTGACCATCGACATTTGTTGATAAGCTTCTCTCCTGTCAGTGTTTTATGTTTTGCACTTTTGCATGCAGTTATGGTTAAACTAGTTAAACTAGTTTTCTAACGAAAATGCGACCGTGAGAGTGTGATGGAAAAGCTGATGAAGGAACTCAAACGAAAATGTAGATTCTGGACGGCATGGTGAAGAGCCCGTATAGAAAATCAGGAAACTTTGTTGTGATTAATCTGAGTACGTTAACTGTTTTGTAACTTCTAGGAATCTGCGAAAACTTATCTTGTTGCTTATGCGATCCCTTTAGAGGATCTGGAGAGTGAAAATAGTGAGATTCAAAAGCAAAGCAGAGCTGTTATGTGAGTTCAGGTCTAAAATGCTGAGTGATAGGACCAATTGCTCTATGAACTAGGTGCATGGAAGAGAAAATGATGTTTAATTTACGCGTTACTTGAGGTCCATAAACTGCTCGGGAAGATGAAGGTAATTGAAATTTCTCAATTGTATGGGTTTTGTGGGGTGAAGTAGTGTAGAGAGTATGTATCGTCCTCTCCTTAAGGCTGGCGAGGACCACTTGGTTTATGATGTGGGAACCCTTGGAGAGCATAGAAGAGAAAACAAAGCAAATCTATGGATTGTTTTATGTTCATTAACGGCTGAGAATAGATAATTCTTTTGATATTTAATGGGCTAGATTGACAATTGCTATTATTTTGGGTTTTGAGGGGTGGAGAAATTTAGATGATGCCACCTCCACTGGGCTCCGAATGATAAAATTTTTCTCTCATCCTGACATCTTACAGCATGGTGGTCATGGGATATCAGTTTCGTCCTTGTATAAGATATGTGGAATGCCTTTATACCCTTCAGAAGGATGAACATGAATAGCATCTTGTAACTATTGGATCTTCCATTCTCAAGCTCATAAACAGATGCAGCAAGGTACAAACTCTGTCAGAGCTGCTAGTGAAACAATGCAAGAATAATGTCCATTGAGGTTAAGAAAAAGAGAGAGTGGTACTTCACGGTGACCGAGCTCAGTGTCACTGCTTGGAGACCTAGCTAGATGCTGCCATTAGTGACTTAACTAGAGCTCCCTGCCTGTCCTCTCCTGCAAATTCTCACAGCAAGAGTCCATGAAGAAGATCGCAGGCCATTGACATAAAAGGTTTGGCCCAAGGCAGCTTGATGGACTCTATAATATTCCTGAATGGCTGCATCGAGACTGATACTACGTGTGAAAATTCAATACTACGCAAGCACGAATGATCAGCAAACAGATGGAAGCCTCGTGGCTTTTTGCCACCGTCAAGTCAAAAACGTCAAGAAATCAGCGCAAGCATGCCTATAAGAGTTGCAATTACAAGCAGCAAAAATATGATGAAATGATGAGAATTACGTTAGAGAAAAAGGGTTTTTTTTTTTTTCTGAGGCATGAATTAGCTTTTATCAAACACCTATGTATATAGCAAAGTTATTAAAACCCGGCCCATCTCATGACCAGCTTAAAGCCCTGGATAGAATTGATTAACTTTATTTGACCCAATAAATTTAAAATAATATTATTTTAGAATTTTAAAAAAAGTTTTAAAAAAGTTATTTAAAAAAAATACAAGAAAAATAATTAAATACTAAACACATCAAGTCAATTCTTATCTAGTAAATTCAAGTCGAGTAGAGAATCGGTTCAACTAATTACTAAGTGAACATTGATGCATTCTTGCACAGCTTTATATCACAATATATTTAAGTGTATGATAACAACGAATTCTTTGTTAAACTTGCGTGCCTGTTTCTTGAAGTTTTTAGTGGCAATATCTATGCAAGTGAGTCACTTTGGCTTGCAACTTGCCAGGGCTGCCCACCATGGGAGAGGAGCCAGCCATCACAGAATCAAAGAGAATGGAATCTCATGCTATTACATGCTGAAGCAGAGAAACTGCGATTTGTGACTTCCAATTTTAAAGTGGTGATCTCAGTATCTTTGATATACTTTTTCGGCCACTTGCTTTCTGCAGGTGTGTGGAATGGAACTCCTCAGACAATAATGCAGACCATGATGCTTATTTTATTAAACAAGAGAATGTAGTCCCATGCACGCAGAGTTTGATCAATTGCTGGAATATTTTCAGTTATTTTTTCTTATATTATTCAAGTGGGCGAACATGTGAGGTTAGCACCACTAGTTATGTTAAAGTTATGAGAAAATATATATATATAATAAATAATCATGAATTACAATTACATTGCAAATTTTTTTAAAAAAATATGGATAATGTTTTTACTACTGTTAATTTGTAGATTTATAACCATGATTTTTTATGATTCATTGATTTTTTTTTTTAATGTTTGTAGTTAAATTAGAATGCATCTAATTTAGATCAATTGATGACAGTTCATTGATTCTTTTAGTGCGAGTTTAAAAGTGTTTTCTATTTTAAAATAAAATAAAATATTTTTTATTTATAAAATCAGCATATTAATATTATTAAAAAATATAAAAAAATTATTAATGAGATATTTTATTGCACACTCAACGAGGCAGCAAGGGAAAGCACCCTATAATTACAGTCATCAAACTTGCAAGCTCCACGTGAAGCCAGATTTGAGTTAGCTAGGCTAGGCCCCTGCGTCCATCACTTCATGGCCCCAGCACAAGTCTGCTATGATTAAGCTAAACCAGGTGGCGTGGATTAACTTGTCTGTTGACCCCACCCATAAAAGACAAATAAATGTTTGTTGTGAATCTTGAACAGCGGTTCGCCAATTCCCTCCCTCCCTCACTTGCAGAAGCCCACGTCCCCATATTTGTATCGTGTGATTATAAAGAAAAAATTAATAATAGAGCATTCAACTACCTTTCTCGACTTGTCGTTTTGTTATGGCAGGTAGAGAGAGGAGGTATAATTTTTCTTTTAGATTTGTTTTTTATTTTTAATAGTAGCATGATAAAATTATAGAAAAAAATATTCTTTTAAGCAAAAAAAATAATTTAAAAATTGAATTAAGAGATTGACAATTGAAACGTTGGTGGGCAGCGGGCACTAGCACTCCGTTATATATAGATGGATAGATATCACCAGAGTTTGCCAAGAAAAGATTGCTAGAATCTCTGCATGTGTGACCACAGACAGTGAGCCAGGCCTGAAAAAATCATTAAACCATCCCATACTGTCGTCCACGCCACCTATATAACAATCTTCAAGAATCGGCACCATAGAAACCTAACACAGCAAACAAGTTTGCGAGACAGTGAAGATTTACCCTTGGTTAGAACTTAGAATCTTGTCTAGAAAATGAGCTGGTGGTGGGCAGGAGCTCTTGGAGCTGCCAGGGTAATAAAGATTAAACCAATTACCCCATTTACAAATCTTTATCACTTTAATATTTGAAGTTGATATTTATGTTTTAATTTAACATTAATTTCATCTGTTGGCAAATGTTTTGCAGAAGCAATCTGAAAATGGAGACACATCACGAGGACACCAGAGCGTGGCTTTAGTGGTAGGAGTAACTGGCATTGTTGGCAACAGCTTGGCTGAAATCCTACCACTCTCCGACACGCCTGGTGGTCCATGGAAAGTCTACGGAGTGGCCCGTCGTCCACGGCCAAACTGGAACCTAGACCACCCAGTTGAATACATTCAATGTGACATCTCTGACACGGCCGAAACTCAAGCAAAACTCTCCCAGCTAACTGATGTTACTCACATTTTTTATGTCACATGGGCCCTCCGATTCACGGAGGCTGAGAACATCCAAGCTAATAACCTCATGTTCCGCAATGTCCTTCAGGCTGTTATCCCCAACGCCCCCAATCTCAAACATGTTTGCCTCCAAACTGGTCTCAAACACTATGTTGGTCCGTTCGAGTTGGTAGGTAAGATAGAACCACATGACACTCCTTACACGGAAGATCTGCCCAGATTAAACGCACCCAACTTTTACTACGATTTAGAAGATATTTTAGCTGAGGAAGTGGCAACGAAAGAGGGAGTGACTTGGTCTGTGCACAGGCCGCATACAATTTTTGGGTTTTCTCCATATAGTTTGATGAACATGATGGGCACTCTCTCTGTTTACGCGGCTATATGTAAACATGAAGGGATGCCTTTACTATTCCCCGGGACTGAATCTGTTTGGAATGCTTATTCCATCGCCTCTGATGCAGATCTGATTGCTGAGCAGGAAATTTGGGCAGCTGTGGATCCTAATGCACAAAATGAAGCGTTTAACATCCACAATGGAGATGTTTTTAAGTGGAAGCATTTGTGGAAGGTTTTGGCCGAACAGTTTGGGATAGAAAAATATGGGTTGCCTGAGAGTGGGAAGAAAGTGAGCTTGACGGAGTTGATGAAGGATAAAGGAGCAGTGTGGGAGAAAATTGTGAAGGATAATCAGCTGTTGCCTAACAAGTTGGAGGAGGTCGGGGTGTGGTGGTTCGCCGATTTTGTGTTGGGTGCAGAGTCCATTATTTCGTGTATGAATAAGAGCAAGGAGCATGGGTTTCTAGGGTTTAGAAATTCCAAGAATTCCTTGATTTCGTGGGTGGATAAATTGAAGGCTCACAAGATCGTGCCTTGAGTTTAGTGGATTTAGGTTGCTGGTCTTTTTGCTGCTGTCATGTTGTTTTAAAAAATAATTTGGAAGATTGGTGGATTTTCTTATTGTTGATGATTTCTATTAAAGCATATCTGAATTCTGAAGAAAAAATGTTTTTGCTAGAGGTCTCTCTCTTTGTTCTTAATTTTATAAGAAAAAACTCCGACTGGGCTGGAATTAATATTAGTTAACAACCTGTCTAGGCTGCCTCCCTTCGAGGTCAGGGTCCAGAGCCCACAAGACAGGTAACTTAAAGTTACAATTCTTTAACCGGAGTTTACCCCCCTGTCATCTCAGATTTTGGTTGTTTATATAATAGTAATTACAAGTTTATATATTTTTAAAATATATAAAATTAATTATAATATTTAAGTTCATCTGGATATCCATATTATACTAAAAAAAAAGTTACAACTCTTCCTATAATACAATACAAGTCGAATTTAAAAAACAAGAAGAAGCATGTATCAAGAAATATAATTATTTGATATTTTTTAAATTTTGATTTTTTTATTTTAAATTTTAAATTAAATTATATTAAAATTATTTTAATATGACTCAATCCACCCTAGCTAAATTGTTCCACGTAGTTAACCAAAAAAGTCTAAAGATATGTTGAATCAAATAAAAAATTGAGACAAAAACTCGATTAATTATACCAATTTTGTATGCCATGGGTTACTAAGTGCAAGCAACAAAACCCACTGAGTCATAAAATGCACAAGTTGATGGTGTTGTTGGTGCAGTCAACAGGGACTAACTTGATACCAATTCGATAGATGGAGGGTGTATTTGTAGATTACAATTTTGTGTTTGCCTGATTTTGTACTATGGAAAGGTAGAAGATTGGTATTTTTGTTGTGTTTACTTGCTTCTAATCATCCGAGTCAGCAGAGTGTCATGCACAAGCTGTCGAAACACGAAAGTTTGGTTGATATGATATAGAAAACAAGCAGAAAAAAATTATAACCAAAGGGGATTTTTTTAACAGTAAAAACTCATTTCCTTTAGTTTTTTTTTTTTTAATTTAACAAGTTCAATCAAATTACATGCTAATCCTCTAAATTAATGTTAAATTTAATTAAAATTAAAAATCGAATCACGTTTCTTATCATTACTTTTGTCGGATAATCCCGACAGGCAGGCTTTACTAGAAAACTCTATCTTGTTGTCACGTATGTCATGGCTCGCGTCACGTAGCTCTCGTTTTCACGCGAGAACCAATTTTAATACGGCGATTCCGAAAATCAAAACATATCCAGAAGCAACAGCGAGTTAAGTCCGAAAATCAAAACATATCCAGAAGCAACGAGTTAACATGAGCTGGTGGTGGTCTGGTGCTATTGGCGCTGCCAAGGTAAGAATGGAACAATCCTCTTTCTAGCTATGATACATCCACGCCCGTGTTAATAAATAAAACTCATCTGTTGTATTTGATTCAATCCGCAGAAAAGATCCGAAGAAGATGAAGCACCACGAGGTTACCAAAGCGTGGCCCTGATTTTAGGAGTTACGGGGATTGTCGGCAACAGTTTGGCGGAGATTCTCCCACTTTCCGACACACCTGGTGGCCCATGGAAAGTTTACGGCGCGGCCCGACGTTCACGCCCCAACTGGAACGTGGATCATCCGGTGGAGTACATCCAGTGCGACATCTCCGATACCGCCGAAACCCAATCGAAGCTTTCTAAGCTGGCTGATGTGACCCACATCTTCTATGTTACCTGGGCCAGTAAACCCACGGAGGAGGAGAACTGCGAGATTAATGGTCTCATGTTCCGTAACGTCCTCCAGGCCGTTATACCAAACGCTCCCAATCTCCGCCATGTCTGCCTCCAAACAGGAGGGAAACAATATGTGGGTCCTTTTGAGCTGTATGGCAAGATTGAAGCTCATGATCCACCTTTCACGGAAGATCTGCCCCGATTAAATGCTCCCAACTTTTATTACACTTTAGAAGATGTTATGTTCGAGGAAGTGGCAAAGAAAGAAGGAGTGACTTGGTCCGTTCACCGGCCTGATGTTATCTTTGGGTTTTCGCCTTACAGCTTGATGAATTTGATTGTCACTATTTCTGTTTACGCTGCAATATGCAAGCACGAGGGAGCTCCTTTAATCTTTCGTGGATCAAAAGAGGCATGGAATGGTTACGCAATTGCTTCTGATGCAGATCTGATTGCAGAGCATGAAATTTGGGCGTGTGTTGATCCTAATGCACAAAATGAAGCTTTTAATATCCACAACGGAGATCTGTTCAAATGGAAGCATTTGTGGAGGATTTTAGCAGAAGAATTTGGGATCGAAGAATATGGATTTGAAGAGGGCGAGAGTAGTATAACATTCGCCGAGGCGATGAAAGATAAGGAACAAGTGTGGGAGGAAATTGTGAAGAAGAATCAGCTACTGCCAAACAAGCTAGAGCAAGTTGGGGGATGGTGGTTTGCAGATTTGATATTCGGAGGTCCGGGTATCGTCACGAATTTGAACAAGACCAAGGAACATGGATTTTTGGGATTTCGAAATTCCAAGAAATCTTTTGTTTCGTGGTTAGACAAGATGAAAGATTACAAGGTTGTGCCTTGATTCGGGTGGTGCTCTATTTGCTTTAGAGAATAAACTCGGAGATTTGAGGCATTTTGTTCTGTATCAGGGTTTGTAATCACATTGTCGTCCTGATTCGGAATTGTAAAAAAAAACCCTGCTGTATGAGGTGTCGAATCAACTCGCCGGCATTGAATAAACATGTGTCAATTATTTTATTTTACTTTTTTTCTGTCTTGTGAATGATCCTATCGAGTTTATTCGAGGTGGTTGGATTATTAAAATTCAACCCGGGATCAAGTTTTGAGTCATGGTTAAATTGCCCGACCGGAGTGGCAACTATGTTTGTAATCGAATCAAATTGCATTCGGAGCTGGTCTAGTTCTATCTCCCTGTAAAATCCTAGTAATTTAGTTGATTTAATCTTGCTTGCTGCCAAGGGCTTGGGTTTTTCGTTGGAGTGCTAGAAAAGATTTACCGTGGAGTGAAATCATCATTTTATTTTTGGGTGGGAAAAAATAAAAGCCTTTGTTATGAGGAACAAAGGGTAATTTGATTTTTTGCTGATTCTACTAGTCATTAAAAAATTATCCCAAGATATTTTAGTAAAAGGGTAATTTGATTTTTTGCTGATTCTAAAAAATTATCCCAAGATATTTAAGTATTTTTCAACCTGTTCTAAATCGTTCATTTCACTTGGATCCATCTCTTGCCAAGATATGATTCTGATTGATATTGTGATGTAGACAAGTTAAAATAATAATAAAAAATACTAAAACAAAAATAAATTTTATATCTTTTAAAAATAAATATAATTTTTAGAAATATGTAAAAACAGAAGTGATAACATTCTCAAATGGATAAATACACAACAAAAGAAGAAAAGTAAACGTGATCTTACACTAACAAATGAAAACAAGAATTTGAGAAGCAAGGTTATATCTTAATTAGTTAGGTTTTTAGTTTGTTTTTTAAAATTTATTTAGTTCAATTTTACAAATTTCAATGTTAAACTTTAAAATTATTAAAAAATTATATAATAGTTAATTTTAAAATTTATAAAATTAATTAAAATACATACAAGTTAATTTAAGCACTCATATTAATTAAAAAAAAATAAGCAACTGAATTCATAATTTGTGTAAAATTAGTCTATTGTAGTTTAATTCTAGATGCCTGTTAAATTACTAGACGCCATCAGCATAAAAATTTAGCTTGTGATCTGAATGTATTTTGTCACGAATTAAGTCATTATACCATATAGTGATAGAAAATTCAAGGGGAAAGAGGAGTTTATAATGACTTAATCTTTATAACTTAACATAAATAATTAATAAATCCATGTAATATAAAGTTTAACAACTCGGTTTTTTTATCAACATTAATCGTGGGTTGATTAAATATTTTTTGTTAAAAAATACCTCCTCTCCTTGCCAATATTTTTCCTTTTATCTACTTCTCGTTTCTGTTTTTATATTTCTTCGAAAAGGAAAGAAATTGAAAACTAACATTAAATTAAAGAAAATGAATAAGATGATAATTAATTAATAAGTTTTATTAAATTACATAAATTAAATTATATTTAACATGCATAGAATGATCAAATTTAAAAGAATTAAGATAATATGAAGATAAGGTGTTGACGCGGCGAAACGATTTGTTTTCAGGATTGCATGATTAAGTTTGATCAAGCAGATAAAAGCATGTGTGTGTTTTTTTAAACTCTTTTCTCGAATTCACTTTTATTTTATTTTTTTTGTTTTTTTTTATTATTAGTATTAGTAATGGTATTTATTTTATTTTTTAAGGTAACAAAGTATTTATTAAATTATAATTATGACATACAATTAATATTTAACACAATTATAATGTAATTAATTAAATTATTGATTGATAAAATAAATTATTAAAGTACACTAAAAATTAATAACTCAAATTTGAAAATACTATAATTATCTGAGGAATTTTAAAATATATATTTATATTATTGATTAGTTTTAGTTATATATTTAATATATTTTTATATCAGTTTTAATTTCATTAATTTTCTAACTAATAATTTATATTAAAATTACTTGATATAAAACATTAAATACCTTACAAAACAATGTTGTTTTTTATAAGATAAATAAATTTAAAAAAATAAAAATAAAAATACAGAGTTGAAAATTTTAAAAATAAAATTAATATAAAATGTTTTTTATATAAAAAAAAAATCAAGCTATAATATAGCAATGACATGGCTTAATTCATGATGTTGTCGGGATGCCAATTTAATCCAAACTCATGCACCGACCTGACCTAGTCCAATCCAAACTAGTAAATATTTTTTTATGATCATTTTATCCAATAGATAGTAGATATTGTATAAATTTTGTGAAACTCAATCCAAAATTCACTCGCACGTAATGAAAATATTTAACAAAATTTTAATATAATATATACATAAAACACACATAACAACATAATTTAAATAAACCTTAAACTTAGCTAGATGTCGAGTCCAAGTATATATGAATTTGAAAAAAGTGTCATATCAAACATTTTTAGACTTGGTCAAGCGTTGAGCTCGAATACACCCGAGGCTAGCTAAGCTACAAGACACAGAATCATGAGCCCAAACATATATGGGTTTACCAAGGCTGCTAAATTAAGCATCTTTGTGCTTAACCAAGCACTAAGCACCAAACCCAGACTGATATGAATCTTACAAAACTATCAAACCTAATATATTTTAACTCAATTAATTATTGATATTTCCTCTAATAAAATTAGATATATTATCTTTATAATAAAGTCACATATATTTAATGTTATTAAAAAAAAATATGACATTCGAGCCCTTCTTTCCGAAGAGGAATAGGAATAGGAATGATGAACCATATAAAGGGAGAGGTATAAGCAAAAAAGGGTAATCTCTCCATATTTTTTAATATTTCCTGGATATATATTTTAAGAGTCTCTCTCTCTACAAGATCTTTTTTTAAAAATATCTTGCACCTCATTTTTTTTATCTCTAAAAATATACTTATTTAAACATTAGATAATCCTCAAATCCAAGGAAAAGAGACTTTTCTACAAGTATTAGTTATTGGTCATTTTGATTATTCAAACTCAAGTATTTGATATCATTCACTTCTGGAAGAGTAAATCCAACTCCTATAATCAAAAGATTAAAGCATTGCTCTCAAGTTGCTTGTATTTTTCCAGCATCATCATTGACATTACATGTGAAAAAATGTTAAAATAGCTATTAATTATTCTTTCAGAGGTGGTTATTGACACCCCTAATCATTATCAAATATAGATAATCACGACACTTTTAGACAGGAACGCATAATAAACCTTGTCATAATCATTTTCATATCTTCTCCATCCAAGTTTTGACACCTTTTAATGCGGAGCAAAGAATGCTATATAGTAATTTGATTGTAATAGTTTAGAGCATGATTTTTTATACCTATCTATAGACATGGTAAAACAAGCAAATTTAAGTTATATATTTGCTAATTTTACAAAATATATTTAAGGTCTCGACCTCTAAGAAGAACAGGTGGGGTGGTAATCCAAACCATACAACATGTAAAATAATTTTAGTAATTATCAAAAAGAAAAGAAAGAGTCATTTTCCCGTCTAACACTTTAGTAAAATGAAAATTACCATGGCTAATGAGCTAATGGAAATAAAAATGTAAGTTTTTTATACATGAATAAATTATTCAAAATAATAATTCTAAAATTTTTAGTTTGAGGTTGATATTAATATATATATATATATATATGGTTATATGTAATATATATATATATATATATATGTGGTTATATGTTATTTTTTAAAAGTAATTTTTATTTGAAAATATATTAAAATATTTTTTCATGTTTTCTTGTTGACAACAACATGTTAAAATTATTTATTTAAAAAAAAAATAATTTAATATTTTTTAAAAACAAATAAACTTTTAGAAAAACTCAAAAGCAGAATGTTATAACACTCGCAAGCTTGAAAAACTTTGCATTTTAGTCCTACAAATTTTATTTTTTAATAGTTAAATACAACAACAAACTCAACCATCAAAAACACATAAATAATAATAATAATAACCTTAAGAAGTATAGTTTAACTTATTAAATCATGAGTTTAGTTTTTATAAGTCATTAGTTTAAGTACGATAAATTTTAAAGTCATTAAAAATTTATATAATTATTAATTTTAAAATCTGTAAAATTAATTAAGATAAATATAAATTACCCTTAACATTCTATTAATAATAAAAAAAAAATGAAGAAAGTACTTAAACAACCACTAACCCCTACCATAATGACACAATTAACCTTCCAACTGAGCAACACTAGGCAACTGAGGATATCGAATCCTCGTTGAAACATCAAATTTCCGGGAATCTCCGATACAGCGAAGACCGGTCAACTAAAGCCATCATGGATGGTACATGACAGATACCGTATTGTTCCACATTCTGAAAAGTAGGCTCCCCATTCATCCTTGTCTTGTAATTAACACGCAAAGAGTGATCAAATTTGACAGAATAAAGATAAGGCGTTGACGTGGCGAAACGATTGGTTTTCAGGATTGCATGGATTAAATGCGGTCAAGCGGACAAAAGCATGTTTGTGTGCTCTTTTCAAAACTCCTTTTTTAGAAACTCTTTTTTCGAGCTCACTTCTGGTATTAGTATTAGCAGCGGTATTTTTTTTTGTTTAAGATAACAAAGTATTTATTAAATTATAATTATGACATACGATTAATATCTAGCACAATTATTATGTAATTAATTAAATTACTGACTGCTAAAACATATTATTAAAGGACACCAAATCAATAAATTAATACCTCAAACTTGAAGTTACTATAATCATGAGAAAAAAAAATAAATTAATACCTCAAACTTGAAGTTACAATAATCATGAGAAATTTTTTTAAATTTTTATGCTTACATTGTTTAGGTAGTTTTAGCTATATATTTAAAATATTTTTAATATTAATTTTACTCTCATGCTATTTTGATCTTTTAACTAAGAATTTATTTTAAAACGATACTATTTTGATCTTTTAACTAAGAAAAAAATCAAGCTATATTATAGCACGGCATTTCTCAAGGTTACTGGAAATGGAAATGGTGGGGAAGGGTTCCATCATTTTCCAGGACGACTGCACGAAACACGCAATGACAATTCAAATTCATATACCATCCCCATCCTATCTAAACAAATGACACACACACACACACATATTACTCTTTCAGTAATAAATATTATCAAACTCAGTTATTAATTTATCTAGTTATAACAAACTTGCAAGGATAATTTTATAATCTCCGTGAAGTATCTACTATTATCTTATTAATTATTTATTGGAATCATGTTCAAAGAAACAAAAATATAATTAAAAGAAAAATATTTAATAGAGATATTTTTATCATTTTTAATGAGTTATAAATTTTATATTTTTATCTTTTTATATTGTTTTTTTAAATAAATAAATCCCAATAAATAACTATTAGCATGCTACTAATTACTTCCCAAAAAAATCATTTTTTTCCTAATTTTCCTTTAAAATAACTCAAAGTTAGATTTTTTTTTCCTGAAAATTATATACTGCAATACCACATGTTATACGTAAAAGAAAATAATGGTTATGGTGCGTGACTACTGTTACAAACAACGACAAAACGCAAGATGAAACCGATACACCTATGTTATTAAGAATTTATGTAATAAAAAAATATAAAAAAGATAAGTATTACATAACTTGCCTCCATAAAGAAATTAACTATTTATGCAAGAAATAACAATAAATAAATCGGGAAAAATTGCATTTCTTCAGGAAAAAAATGTATCAAAAAGGAGAATCAGGTTACTGATCTCATCCTTACTTTATCTTCAACGGTTCTGATTCAATTACGCAATCAAAACTTTCGATTTCATGCCACGTCGGCACCACCAAAAGCAAAGCAGCTCTTATTAATGCGAGAACTCGGAAGCTCCAAGCGATAGGTTGTTGGCTCGCTACTTTCGCTTGCCCTTACACTCCCAGTAGCTGTCTTTACTGTCTTCTCCATTTCCCATCTTCCTCTGCTGCAATCTTCCAAAACAAAATGAGCTGGTGGTGGGCTGGTGATCTTAGCGCTGCCTGGGTAAAAAAGATCATATTTAATTAGATATACCTGGTTAATTATTATAATTTTGTGACCTCATTTGTTTCTCCTGTCATGGCTCATTTTGCAGAAGAAACCGGGAGTTCAGGGGGGCCAAGGAAGCGTGGCCTTGATAGTAGGAGTAACGGGAATTGTCGGCAACAGCTTGGCAGAAATCCTCCCACGCTCCGACACACCAGGAGGTCCATGGAAAGTTTATGGAGTGGCCCGTCGTCCTCGTCCAAACTGGCATGAGAACTGCCCAGTTGAGTACATCCAGTGTGACATCTCCGACTCGGCGCAAGCAAAATCAAAGCTTTCTCATCTCACTGATGTTACTCACATTTTTTATGTCACATGGGCCAGCCGATCCAACGAAGCAGAGAACTGCAAGATCAACGGCCTCATGTTCCGAAACCTTCTTCAGGCTGTTGTCCCCATCGCCACTAATCTCCGCCACGTGAGTCTCCAGACCGGCACCAAGCATTACATTGGCCCTTTCGAGTCATTTTATAATTTTGAATCCCATGATCCTCCTTACTCGGAGGATCTGCCGAGATTAAAGGTAGACAATTTTTACTACACTTTGGAAGATGTTATGTTCGAGGAAGTGGCAAAGAAAGAGGGAGTGACTTGGTCTGTTCACCGTCCTGATATCATATTTGGCTTCTCGCCCCATAGCTTGATGAATATAATTGTAACTCTTTCTGTTTATGCTGCTATATGCAAGCACGAGGGAGCTCCGTTGATGTTTCCAGGTACTAAAGAGGCGTGGAACTGTTACGCGATCGCATCAGATGCCGATCTGGTGGCAGAGCAGGAAATCTGGGCATGTGTGGAGCCTAATGCTCAAAACCAAGCGTTCAATATCCACAACGCAGATTACTTCAAGTGGAAGCATTTATGGAAAGTCCTGGCCGAGCAGTTCGGGATAGAAAAGTACGGGTTCGAAGAGGGGGGGAAAAGAGCGACCTTGGCTGAGAGGATGAAAGATAAAGGGCCAGTGTGGGAGGAGATCGTGAAGAAGAACCAGTTGTTTCCTACGAAGTTAGAGGAGGTTGGGGGCTGGTGGTATGTGGACACCATGCTTAGCGGTGATGCCTTTATATCGTGCATGAATAAGAGCAAGGAGCATGGATTCTTGGGGTTTAGGAATTCCACCAAATCATTTGTGTACTGGATTGGTAAGATGAGATCCCAGAAGGTCATCCCCAATTGAAGTAGTTTGTTTGCCATTTTGCTTGTATTAGCCGCTGCATGTCGATAACTTGCTTCCCGGTAGTGTTGAAAAATAAGAGCTACGAGGGAGAGGTGGATTGTTCGCATAAAAATTCACCCAGTCTTAATGGTTGGCAATATTAATAATATGCATTTTGGCAAGATTAATAAATGTGTTTTTTGTTATTCATGATTCTGATTAATGGTTTAGATATATTGGTAAAAAAGGATTTCTCCTCGATTTGGTCCTGTCTTAAGATTATTTAATTTTTTTAATTTACATTAACGTATAAAAATAAAAAAGACGATCCCAAAAAAGCAGAGCCTCTTCTAGTGTTTCCTCAACAGTTTTGATCTCCAATCGGCAAAATAAAAAGATGATCCCAAGCCGCAAGCTCTGATAGGTCCCTGATCTATAAACTTCACAATCGAGGAAACACTTCTGCTAGCTGCTTTATCGTAGTCTCTGGCCACCAGTTTTGATATTTCCTTGGTCGAGAAGCCCTGGTATTAATTATTGGGCGTGAATTATAGGCAATAACTGTGATAATACTTGTTGAATTTTTAGGACAATAATGATCATGATTAATGGTGTCTCGCACTGATTCACAATTCACGCTTCTTAAATTATTAATATTCCTCAGACCACCAAACTCTTTTTTTCTCGCCACTCACGCGCGCGCGCGCGCACTCGTACACCTGCACTTCTTGCACCTGGACACTTCACCCCTGCTCACCCCTACAATCTAAAGGCAATTCCAGAGTACTGTAGTTTTATTTTTATTTTGCTAGCCTACTAGTAATTCTGGAGATAAGATATTTCCTACCTTGAGTTGATAAGAATGACTAGATATTTAATGGGAGCCTTCTGTATAATTCAAGGATGGTAGGTGGTGAGAAATATTTGGATTGATAATATATGTTTTCAGGTATGGTGGTAAAAAAGGATGGCTCCTCTTTTTTATTTCCAGAGTTGTACATTCTTGTTTTTTTTTTTCTTTTCATTTTTATTAATGTATAAAGTGATTTTGAAATGTTTCTATTTATTTAAAAAATGATTTCAAGCTGTCAGGTTGTTTTTTATATTCAAAATGATAAATAAAAATCTATTTTTTTAAAAAAAAAAATCATCTCAATAAACAAACCAAACCGAAACACACAAACAAGAATCAATTTTATCCATAAATCTCTTTCATTGAAATAAGAATTACTAATATCTCTTACATGTGTCTTTGTAAAAAAATGTTTTTTAATAATTATATAATTTTTCCAAAACCATCAAACAAGCTTTCATTGCAATTATAAAACCTCATGAAATCCCTTAATCCAAGTATAACATTTGGTTACTGCCTTAGCCCTAAAAAACAACTGGAACAAAGCAAACCAAACATGTATTTGTCTTTTCTATTTTTGTCTATTTTCTGGAAGAACACTAAAAAATCACTTTGAAATTGTGTTCTGGTAGTATCCAAGACATAAGCGACTTTTCAAAGAAAAAGGATAACACTTATTTGATTGAGAGTAAAAGGGCAGAAATCTAAAATAAATTTGTATATGAAAAAGATTTATAGTGAATTTTTATTTTTTTAAAAATAGAAAAAACAAAAAAATATATTGCCTCGATCTTGCTTTTATCTCGAGACGACAATTACACACTGGATGTATCATCTGGTTAGGTCACGATGAGTACGACATCACACCAAACATCTCCAGTGTCTGGAAGTGGTATCGGAGGATGTTCCAAGCATATCCAAGGAGTCATGTAATTCCAAGGGGAGCTGCTTTTCTTTTTCCCTTAATGGATTCCTTTGTTTGCTTTCGAATCACAAGATGGGGTCTCTTTTAGAACACTCGAGCGGGGAGCCCTTCGTGTTTGAAAATGAAAGTTACCTCATTACTCCAAGTTATATGTCTACTCTTGTGTTTGCGTTGGGCTAAATAGTATGAAATCCTTCTCGATTATTATTCACAATATCATTAATCTTTAAATTAAAATTTTAATATTTGATTTAATTTAATTCGCATATATTTTCAACGTATTATAGTTTGTTCGGAAGAAAAACTAACATTTATTCGAGCAGCAAATATTACAAAACTCTAATATTCCCTTGTCAGGTTGAGACTTAACGTGCTTTATAATTCGAAATATATTTATAAAATTGTACCTAAATGTTTGACTATTCGATGAATAACAAAAATTGAATATTCCCTTCTCAGGTTGGTTTTACAGGAAGAAAATTTGAAATCAACAAAAGGAATATGTTACAATTCTTGTTCTTACAAATTTTAATTTTTTTTGTTTAAATTAAATTTTTTTATGTATTTAAATTATTTTTATATCAAAAATAATATTTTTTTTAAATTATATATTAAAAAAAATTAACTGTCACAATTCTAAATAAGAATATGCGAATTTGCTGCGTCATGCTCTCGTGTAGGAAAGCATTCCTCGCATTTCTCTTCCAGCGCTTCCAGCTTGCATCTACTTACCATTTAATAGATTCATCTTGTGTTGTTGTATGAATTTTTCAATCAGTTGAAGAGACTTATATTTTTTTTATCAACTTGGCTGGTGGTTTCTCCTCTCAACTTCCTGGTCTCACTTTGCTTCAATGCGAGAATTCTCCTCTCGTTACTTCTTGTCACTTGACATTTCCTGATGCCTCTCCACATAACAATGGCTCCACTGTCTACTTTTCTTTGACAAAGACCTGTGAATTCAATGAATCTTCCACACTGTGTATTAATTGTTTCTTGTTGGGCTTCATTTTTCTTACCAGTTTGCAAAATGTCTCTTTTCCTCCGACTATTCGCCGCTTGGGCATGCATACCCCTTAATTATCTTCGAATAAGATGGATTATTTTTTACCAAATCATTGAATCCTAATAGCTCATCTTCTTTGATTACCTCTACATCCAACCATCCAATGCTTTCTCGCGACATTGCATTGGTAAAATCACAAAACTTGAGTCAATTTAGATGAAAATATTTTTATTTAAAGTAAAGAAATATAAATTTAAAGGGTTAAGGGTTTAATAAGAAATTTGAAAGGTTTAATTAATTTTATTGAAGACTTGATTACAAGAAAAAAAGTTTTTGGAGTTAATTTGGATGTTAATTAGATGAAATTAAAGTTTAGGGGCTGATATTAAACTTTGAAAAGTTTAATTGATCAAATGAGAGGCTTAATTGTGATAATATTAGAGTTTGAAAGTTAATTAAGGACTTAATTGAAGATTCCCAGGAGCAAGGATCAATTTGCAGGTGGCACTCAATTTCATGAATAGAAATTGGTGAAATTAGGGATCAAATTAAAATAAATTAAAATTTTGATAATAAATTAAAAATGAAATTGAAAAAATTAAAAACCAAATACTTGTTTGTAAAAGACATTGAACTTCGAGGTTGATAGGGGTATAATTGTATACAATTAAAATTTGAAGATAATTTTGGACGTAATTGAAAAAGCATGAACTAAATTGAACCTTACTAAAACCCAAATAAAGAACCTTAATTTATAGAGTTTAACCTAGATAACATATCATTCATCCTCCATCTATTTTTTTTTTTCTAGCAATCTTAGATAATTGAGTAAACATTTGTAAGTAAATAAACATGGTGCTTTCGACCACTTTAGTGATTATAATCACTATCATTCAATTGACAAACACTCTCTTTACAACCCATATGCCCATAAAATTAGAAGTTTATACCCCAATTCTTCCACAAAAATTTCCAACATCTTATCTCCAATCAACTTTCCTTTTATTTTTAAATTCTGAACTGATTAAGTCGACACATTTGAACAAACAAATGTGAAACTACAAACTTTCAAATGTAACATAGTTTAATCTAGAAATAACTCATGACCCTTCAAATTTACCAAAATTATTAAATACTTTTAAAACCAAAACCACTGTTGCAAAATTAGCACAGTACAAGAGCTTATAATTATTAGCTTTTGTCTAGAATCCTCTTACTTTGATCAAAGAGCTAAGCTTTGATTAAAAATTAAATATTTAAAGGAATCCATTTAAAAACCTAGAACAATTCTATAAATATTCTTTAGAAATCAAAAGGAAAAAAAGAAAGAAAGAGAGAGGGAAAATATAGGAAAATACTTTATTAATAGATCATATTATAAAGATTCAGGATCTTAACATAGAAGGTCTAGCAAGTTATAAAAAGAAAGAGAGTGAAAGGGAAATGAGGAAGAAAAAAAAAAGAAAAAACAATAACCTATAGTCAGTAAACTTGAAGAAGGTATAACCATGTAAAAACTCAATGGTGGAGTCTATATAACTAATTTTAAACTTTTTTTGATATTTTTGAACTTGTTTTAATGTTATGATGTTTTTTAGTTTTATTTGGTTTAATAAATAAAAATATTATTTTTACTATTTAAATCTTATTTAAAGTTGCGGTTAACGTTACTAAGTGTCAAAATAATATGTTTGTGATTTATTTTAATAAAATAGGATAGTTTTGGATTTGCTAAAAATTGATAAAAAAGAATTTCTTCTTTTTTGATTTCAAGAGTTTTGATTTATTACATTCTTAACATTTTTATTTTTATTAATGATGTTCTAAAAAATTCAAGTAGTTTGAGAACAAGGTTTATATCTTAAATAATCTATTAATCTCTTAGTTATAGTAATTTAATCTATTCTTCTTAACCAAGATAGCTAATAGTTAGTGTATAATACCTGTAAATTTTTTTTTATGGATTTGAAGACTTTCTAATAAGTAAGTGAGTTAAGTTTTTAGAGAAAAAAATGATATTTAAAAAAAAAACTTTAAAAATAAATATGTAATTATAAAATAAATTGTTTAATATTTAAAATAAAACATGATAAATTTTTTATAAATATATATATTTACGCTTGATGCTTAGCCAAACCTAAAAGTAATAAATATATTAATTTGTTAAACTTATTTATATTATATGTTAGTTTAGTATGTGGCCAAATCATATTATAAAATTTAATATCTTGTTAAACTTGTATAAATCAAAACTTTATACTTGATTAAATTTAAAAATATTAAGTTTAACAAATCGCTAATCCATATGTTTAAGCTTGTCATTGAGACTAACAACTTCATCTCAGCATTTAGTTTGTCTCGTGAATTCTATTACTAGTTCTATCACGAGGTTGTCGATTAATGACATGAAGATTGTTCTAATTGGATATGTAATTAAAATAAATAAAATATTAAAACTTAATTAACCTCACTGAAATCGGTACAAATCTAACTAAATCAACATTAAAAAATATATTTTTTAATAAAAATAATTGATGTCCAGGCTCCATTAATCAGACTTCAATTCGTAAGAGCATTTGGTAAGTTCGAGACTCATCGCGCATGGGCCTATCACCGCCCCACATTAGTGCGACAAGTTATCAGCAGTAGTGTTGCTTTAACACTCCCACCACCCATCTTTCCTATCTTCTCCATTTCCTATCTTCCTCTGCTACAATCTTCTATAACGAAATGAGCTGGTGGTGGGCTGGTGATCTTAGCGCTGCCTGGGTAAAAAAGATCATATTTAATTAGATATACCTGGTTAATTACTAAAATTTTGTGACCTCATTTGTTTCCCCTGTTATGATTCAATTTGCAGAAGAAACCGGCAGCTCAGGGGGGCCAAGGAAGCGTGGCCTTGATAGTAGGAGTAACGGGAATCGTCGGCAACAGCTTGGCAGAAATCCTCCCACGCTCCGACACACCAGGAGGTCCATGGAAAGTTTATGGAGTGGCCCGTCGTCCTCGTCCAAACTGGCATGAGAACTGCCCAGTTGAGTACATCCAGTGTGACATCTCCGACTCGGCGCAAGCAAAATCAAAGCTTTCTCATCTCACTGATGTTACTCACATTTTTTATGTCACCTGGGCCAGCCGATCCAACGAAGCAGAGAACTGCAAGATCAACGGTCTCATGTTCCGGAACCTTCTTCAGGCTGTTGTCCCCATCGCAACTAATCTCCGCCATGTCTGCCTCCAAACCGGCACCAAGAACTACATTGGCCCATTCGAGTCATTTTACAATTTCGAATCCCATGATCCTCCTTACTCGGAGGATCTGCCGAGATTAAAGGTAGACAATTTTTACTACACTTTGGAAGATGTTATGTTCGAGGAAGTGGCAAAGAAAGAGGGAGTGACTTGGTCTGTTCACCGTCCTGATATAATATTTGGCTTCTCGCCCTATAGCTTGATGAATATAATTGTAACTCTTTCTGTTTATGCTGCTATATGCAAGCTCGAGGGAGCTCCGTTGATGTTTCCAGGTACTAAAGAGGCGTGGAACTGTTACGCGATCGCATCAGATGCCGATCTGGTGGCAGAGCAGGAAATCTGGGCATGTGTGGAGCCTAATGCTCAAAACCAAGCTTTCAATATCCACAACGCAGATTACTTCAAGTGGAAGCATTTATGGAAAGTCCTGGCCGAGCAGTTCGGGATAGAAAAGTACGGGTTCGAAGAGGGGGGGGAAAGAGCGACCTTGGCTGAGAGGATGAAAGATAAAGAGCCAGTGTGGGAGGAGATCGTGAAGAAGAACCAGTTGTCTCCTACGAAGTTAGAGGAGGTTGGAGGCTGGTGGTTTGTGGACACCATGCTTAGCGGTGATGCTTTTATATCTTGCATGAATAAGAGCAAGGAACATGGATTCTTGGGATTTAGGAATTCCACCAAATCATTTGTGTACTGGATTGGTAAGATGAGATCTCAGAAGATCATCCCTAATTGAAGTGCATGGTTTGTTTTCCATTTTTCTTGTATTAGCTGCTTCTTGTTGGTAACTTGCTGTAAGCTAGAGTCGAAAAATAAGAGGATGATGGAGAGTTTGGATTGCTCACATCAAATTTCACCCAATTTTAATTTGTATCGGCATTTAAGATTATATCGACAATGTGTGTTTCATCTTGGCTGGATTGATGCATGTTTCTTTGCTGCTTATGATTTGTGTGTAGTGGTTTAGATGCATTCATCGGTGAAGAAGGATTGCTATTTTTCTTGTTTTCTAGGGTAGAAAAGTTTATTTATTTAAGTGCATTAGTTTAATATGAACAATACATTTTAAAAATAATTTTAAAAATAATTTATTTTTTCTTATTAATATATAAATCAGTGTGGATATCTTTGATCATTAAAAAAATGATTTAAGTTGTCAAGATGTTATTTTATATAAACTATTAGGAACCCTAGTCTTTTAATTTTAATATAGAGAAAAAATCGAGAACAATAAAAATGTGTTCATCGCCAAGAGAAGATTTGATTTGTAAATTAACAGCCGGTTTTATCCACTATCCAATTTTCAGAAATTTAAAAATTCTATTAATCTCTTTTACATGTTTGTTTGTAAGAATATAAATTCTCAATAACCATGTAATTTTTCAAAACCATCAATCTGTCTTTACAATTATAAAACTTCAAAATCCCTTGAGGAAATGGAAACAATTAAGACAAAATCTTTTAGAATGGTGAAATAAAAAGAAATTTGTTTTTACGATAATTTTTTTTAGTAAATTTCTATACTTTAAACTATATTGAAAAGGGATATATATTTTTTCCACCTATTTTTGTCAATATGATACAAGCATAAAAATTAGAAAATTGGCTGAAACATGGTTAAACACAAAGAATTTTTTTTAAAATGTTAATATAATAAATCCTATCTTTATATGATATTTATAAATTTTTATTTAGATTTGAAATCGCCCTTGACAAGATAAAAAAAAAATCCTAAAATAAATGATAAAATTCATAATGATAAAAAAATAACAGAATTAAATCGAATCTTCGCAACCTGATTTAAAAAAATTCATGTAACAGATGGACTAGGAAAGTGATCCTCTATGAACTTAAAAAATTTCCTATAAGAATTTGACCTGAATTCAATATTCAAATCGAATATTTTATCTTCCTTTAGTTATTTTACTGGTTTAACGTGAACAGAGTGTTTTTTTTTTTAATGCTATCACCATCCCACTAGAATATTCACAGAATCTGACCTCGACATAGCATATCTCCGTAGAATTACTAAAAATCTTGAATTTATGCTACCCAATTAAGGCATCACTCTAGCTAATTAAATTATATAAATATATATTTTTAATTAATATAGATGTTGGGATCCATTTTTAAATATCTTAATTAATTTCATAAATTTTAAAATTAATAACTATATAAATTTTAATAATCTAAAAATTTATAAAATTCAAATTAATATTTTTTAAAAAAACAATCCTAAAAATTAAACTACGTCCATCCATGTAAATTATATAAATAATTTAAATTATATAAATATTTTTTTTAGATTAATGTGGGTGTTTGGATTAGCTTGTGTGCACCACGACTAATCCTATAAATCCTAAAATTAATGACTATATAAATCTTTAATAACCATTATATGAACAATCAAAGACTTGAATATAAGACTACGTGAACAAATCTCTTGATGTTAAGTTTTTTACCTTGACCACCATTCAGATAATTAAATCACATAAATATTTGATTGAGACATCAGTGGTCTGATAGCGGACCAGACATCTAATATATAAAAAAACAATTGCTGCAGTTGGGTTGGATGTTTCGAAAACAGCCAAGAAATCTCCTAATCCAAGGTGCCCTGCTTTTCTCTTCAAGAACCGATATCAATGCCCACCTGCTTTTCTTTACCCTTTAAGTATTCTTTTGAATCGCAATTCGAGATCCACTTTAAACACGTGAGCATTGAGCATTTCTTAATTATTAGAAAAAATACCATTGATTTTTAAATTGAAGCTCTTATGTTAATATTTCCTGGAAAAACTATTTTATTTTATTTAATCTATCCTTAAATCAAAACAGGATTCAGTGAAATTGTTAACAGAAAAATGTCATGTGCTAGCAACGTTGGGAGATTAAAAAAATCCTTTCCAACAAACAAAAACCCGTCAAAATTGATATTTTACCCCCCCCCCTCTCTCTCTCTCTGCGATTCCAGCAAGAACCACGGTCAATCTGTCTCTGTTTGCAAGTTTAGCAAGAACCACCACAAAATCAGTATTTCACTGTTATTTTCTCTCTGTTTTTGCAAATCAAATTTTGAACAATCTACTTTTCGTGCTCGCCATTTCACCGTGGTGGGGTGTACAGTTTGCAGTTGTGAGGGATGGTGGTTCAACGGGTAATGATGGTGAAGGTAGGTTCAGTTAGCAAATGGGTTTCGAGAGGCTGTCAGTCGGGGTGGTAATGGCAGGGTTTAACAGCGGTCAATCATGGGAAATTTAATGTCTTGAATCATTAGTTGTCAACTCAATTTAGTATCTGGATTATTGGGTTACTGTATCCAAATCCAAATAACATCATTAAAACAAAAAAAAAAAAAAAAAATGAAATCAATACAGATAGGTTTCATTTTAATTAACTTATTTTAACTTGTCGATTTTATAATTTAAAATAAAATCTTGCTCGGGTTATGCTGTAAGATATGAGTCATTGAATTAACCTAAAGAATTATATTTAAGTATATATTTGATATTATGATGTAAAGTATCTTCTACTTGAAAAAAATTCAAAATAATTTTCTAATATTAAAGTATCAAAATCATAAAAAAAACACTAAAAACAAAAAACAATTATTATTTTTTTCAAGTCAGATATACTTTTATAACATCATTCTAAATACAAGTATAAATGGTATGCTAATGAACAAGAGTTATCAAATTAAAAATAATTTATTTTATTTTTAATTTTTAATTTTAAAAAATAATTTGAAATAAAATTAAGCTTGAGTTAGATACAAATTATCAAATTAACCTGTCATATATTTGATACTATAATACATAATATTTTTTGTTTTGAAATAATTTTTTTAATTATTAACATAAAAATATCAAAATTATTAAAAAGTACTAAAAAACACAAATTAAATTCTTTTGTAAACCACGAGGCTTTAAAAACATATCTAGATATAATTTCAAACATAAAAACAATTAGTATCCTAATAACCATGCTAGAAACATATATCACCTCTACCGTGCACAGTAATTATCATGAAGGAACAAGTTTGAAATTAAGAAATCTTTTTTATGCATCCATCATCATCGCGTGTAAGATAATTATCTCAATTTAATAGTTTAAATTATTAAATGAAATTTTAATATATTATTTATATTATTTTTTAATATATGTTTTAAAATAAAAAAATTTTGGACTTGAAATATAAACAAACTCATATTATTTTGTGCTTAATTTTTATCAAATAAATAAAAATTGAAATTCAAACTCATGACCATTTAGTTATCAAGATGTTAGTACTAAATCAAAAAATCATGTTAACTTAATAATTTAAATTATTTAATAAAACTTCAAAATATAATTTATATTATTTTTCAATACTCTACAAAAACATATATCTATATATACACTGAGTTGCTGCAAAACTCACTTTGCTTGTGAATTTAGGCCAATTCCTTCTTCGGTCATTGACGATGCTATATGCATCCATCATCCATTACTCTATATTGATATTACACTATCCTTTTAAAATCATGGAAGAAATAGTGTCTGTATTGTAGATATAAATTGTGAACCATATTATAAATATAAAATATTTGTATTATAGATGACACTATAGTGTTATATAAATATTATTTTTATTTTTTTAATCAAAAAATACTATTAAAAGCATTATCTTTTCTGTTTTTTGTGCAAAAAATTATTGAATTTGACTTAATAGGCAAACTCGCTATTATTAAATATGGATGGGTAGCTACATTGTAATTGCTTTCAAAAGATATTGGGTTTAGTTTGACAACTAGACCAAATGTTATTGTTGTATTTTCCAGTAAAAAAACATTATTGGGTCTAAAATAATAAAATCCAATAATATTGAATTTCGGCAGGTAATCAAATTGAATAACAATCAATCAGAAATTTATTGTTATTGCACTTGATTTAGTCCATAAATTTAAGATTGTTGGATTTGGTTTGATTGTCTAACCTAATACTACTAGGTTTATTTTACTGTCAAATCAAATATTATTTTAGATTCTAGATTTAAGATATCTAATATATTTTTATTTTCTTTATATATTTTTTTTAAAATATGATCAAACGTTTTTTTTTTTTGTTATTATTATTGAACGATACGGAGCACCAACCAATATGATATTTGCACTTGTTGGCCTTGCAATCCCCTGCTCACTTTCAAATGCCAAAAGTGTCGCTGGTACATGAAAGAAGACGGAAAAGTGTTGTGCGGAGGATGATTGTTACAGTCTTACAGATATGTCATAGCAAATGGTTCATAAATGGATTTATCAAGCATTTTAATTTTAATGTTGGTTCTTGTTCTTCTTACAATTTTTTCGTGGATTCATAAAATAAGATGGTTTTTAATCCCTTTTTTTTGGCCCAAAAAATAAATTTAACCATAAAAAAGTTTAATTATATTTTCGAGAGCCAGTCTGATTTTATCAAGGGTTAATTTTATCAAAGGTTAATATTTTATTTTCGTGTAAATTAGAAATCGACAAATTATTTTTATGTAATATAAAAATTGTATGAATATAACATTTATGCATATTATATTTTCTTCTGTGTTAATATCATCTATGTATATTAAAGTTAAAAATTAAAGTGACGATGATGTGAAAATAAATATGGTGATTAATGGACGAAAAGATAGTAGACTTAACAGAAAGATTAATGGCGTTTCGATCAATAATTTCAAATATTAATTTAGTATTAACCAATAATTGAGGTGATCCTGTACAATTTTTCCATGCAACCAAGAAAAAAAATATCTTAATTTTACCAGTAATAATAATAATAATAATAAATAAATAAATAAATAAACTAGAAAATCCTTGGAGGCCGGCCGACAACTGTGTTCTCGAGCTCTTCGCCGAAGGGATCAAAGGCCCAAGAAGTACAAAATAT